AAGCTCATATAAGCTGCTTTTATCCAGGATCTCGTTCTTTTGGTCATTGGGTAGGGTACCCGCACCAATTCGCCTCTAGATCTACTGCTCCCCTCACAAGTGATCAGGACGACAAGACTGGAACTTGTCCACTTGAGGCAGAAACTCTCCCCCAACCTGAAGGAAACAAACTACCTTTTTCCATTCGAGAACAATGGCCAAGACTTGGAGAAGTTATTTCTCGTCACTTCATACTTGGCTGTAAACCACCCCAGTTCATACTGTAGGCCTTGGCAGTAGGGAACCAGCAGAACCTCGTCATCTTCAAAAAGCAGGGAAGAGATACACGGGTCCCCGGAAAAGACCCCTTTCGACCCTTGGCAGCGGATAGAAATCCTTTCCAGAAAGGTTATAAACAGGATCGGCGACAGAGGGCAGCCCTGTTGGAGTCCAAAATGCTCCAGGAATAGGTCGGACTTATTACAGACAATGCCGACCAAGCTACTGCTCAGCTTGTAGTGGGACCACGGGGCCCCTAATAAAGGGCCCCTGACTCCCCACTCCTGAAGCCCCCATTAACATTATGTCTACTCTTAGTTACCATCTGGAATAACTGATTATCATGCCCTTTGAATTTTATTCACATGATGTGTATTCAGTTATTATCTGCTGTTCTGTGATAGCATCTCCTCTGTATAATCACATTTCACAGGAGCTGTTAGAGTGTGGAACTTCACCTTAGTGCTGAACTGCAATTCAAGCTTTCACACTTTTAGATTAAATTGATCTTTGCATATACTGTAGCTTAGGGTAATCAGTTAAAATAACACACATCATAAAACTTGCCAGGGTCTGCAGATGTCTACCAGTGTTAACATAATACAAATTGTAATGTCACTATAAATAGTACATGTCCACAGTTTCGTGTGTTTGATGAAAACTGTTAGTGGCACACTCAAACTAGCATTATACTAACAACTTAAATACAAAAGCATAGTAAATTATTCTTGGGCTTACTTGAAAATCATTTTCAATATTTTGTTCGCTTAAGGATATTAGAGGAAGCTGGACCATAACCCTTATAACCAAGAGAGAAGTGGGAGGGATATGACCTGGAGTGCATCAGTGCAGATTTTCTCTTAATTCCAGTTAATAGGAGCCAGTAACCTTACCTTGCATGTTAATGGAGTATTAAAGGAAACCAGACTACCTACTTTTATTCATTTTTTTAATACACTACTTTATGTTTTTTTGGTTTTAATTTTAACAGCAGGTTGCATTTCTCTCTGTTTGGCTCAAACAGACAAACAGAAGTATCATGTATAATTTAGTCTCTTTTACTGTATCTTGTAAAGTGCCTAGAAGAGATAATCACTCTGTCTTCAGAAAATCAGGTTTCAGGAAGGCAGTACTGGCTCGAAGCAGAACACAAAATTTTGGCACAAATTGTTTTGGCACTAAAACAAAGCATTTTTTTAACTCAATTCCAAATACTGTGAGTTATATCCTAAAGGTATGTTTACAAAAGGTAAAAGTCTATGCCTGTCTGTCTGTCAGAACAATATTGGATACATTTTAAAAAGACAGGTCAATAACTGCAGCATATAGTGCAGAGTGAACATAAGAGGGCAATTAAAGTTCTATAATTATCCTCATCACTTTTTCTTATCAGACTGGATTTATCTTTCACATGCTGATTTCTTCCCTTTTTTTGCAGCGATATAATGCAGAATAATTAAGGTCTCAATTTAGCCTGCCCTAGTGTCATTGCCACAGGCCAATGCTTCTTTGTGTATATTTAACTTGAGTTAATGTGTTAATGAAGTTTGCCCTATTTAGTCCCTTGTAAAGGGCCTTTTCTGTATTTACAGGCCATGCCTTGTTAATCTTGGGTAAGATGCCTTGGGGCATTTTACCCTGTATTACTGTGTTCCTATTTAAATGTAGTAAATATCTTTACTTAATGGGTTTGTGGATTAGCATTGAACCATGATGTCTTGACCATGAACCATGAACTTTGTTAAATGGAAGTTAGAAGGCCAGTAGTTGTTTCTGTTCAGGCCTAGATTGTATTATGCTGATTCTGTTAAAAGTTGTCCAGAATTAATACATTTTTTGAAATAAGTTATTCATCTAGTTGCACAGAAACTGGGTCAGCTACTTTAGTTGTACAGTCACTGTGGTAACAGGTTCCATTCTGTGGTTTAGTGAAGCTATGCATTGGAGAGCTACTTTTATATTTTAGGAACAAGATTGGAATTATACAGATGCAGATACTGTTTTTCTTTTTCAATCATCATTTTATGCTCACATTATAGATTTGTGGTAGAGATAAGGCCTGCAATGTTAACTGTTTTGTTTGATTCAAAATGTAATTTTTTTACACTAGCAATGCATTCCCTTCCACCAAAACAGCATTTGTCTAAACTCAGGGTCAATAGCTCCTGGCACTTCATGCATAGTCAGTACATCAAATGTTCAGTACCTGCTTTTAAATACTTCACCAATTTATTTTGTAATTTAAGGGGAGAGAAAAGATCAAACATCAGTATTTTAGTCTTCAGCATATTAAATTCAAAGCTTGTTACAAAAGAATAAAACCTTTTTGAATTTATACATTTTGTCAACTTACAAATGCAAACTTAGATTTAATTTGTTGAGGTGTACTATGATACCTTCTGAATATATCCCAATGGATAATTCACATTCAAATATTCCGCTCTTTGTATTGTAGTAGCTAATATATTTCAGATACTGCAAAATGTTGTTTTTGTATTGTTTGATCATATCTCTTTTCAGATGTACTTGCAAAAGGTTCAGCTCCCCATCTCTGTGTTACTCTGCTTACATTGCCTGTATCTCTATGCGCTATGGGGCGGATTTTCAGGTTTGCATGTATTAAAACACTTACAAACTTGTTTGGACAAGCAGTTTTTAAGTCTTGACATGCAAAGTGTAATGCCAACATTTCTGGTTAAATTCTGCAGTCATCTTTTGATTAATTTGTCATATTTTTTTCCCTTTAATATGATTTTACTCTTTTTATTTCTGATAGTCAAAAGATGACTATGCACAAACACTCTTTTCAAAATAATAAAAAAAAACACCATGACTGAAATCAAATATTGAGGCAAGTTTATAACAAATAAAATAGAATATTAACAGCCACTCACAAACATTTGTTACAAAGCCCTTGAAGAGATTTGGGGGTGCACATTTCTAGGTTGTGGCAAGAGGTATGTACCTAAATGTTCTTTAATGGGCATAAAGCTTTGTGAAGTTTTATTGAATTGTTCTCAGCCCACCTTGTTTTTTGGACTATCGGCTGTTGTGACAAGTTGGTGTAAGAAAATTCAGCTGTTTAGAGCATATCTTGCTTTAAATAGGACTGTGGCTCCTTCTCTGTTCGGGAGGGGTGGGCTGAGAGGGATCAATGAACAAACAAAGTCAGCATTTTGATGTTTTATATTTTATCTCTCAAATTACAAAACTACTCCCTCGCTTATGCCTTGGCCAGGGTGGCTGGCTCTTCTTCTCAAGCCCAGGCCTAGGATCTTCAGAGTTCTTCACATTTTCTTAGATGTTACAAGGATTTTGCTCTTCTGAACTTAGATATCTGATGTTTCTCTAGGTATCTGTTGGAGCCTCCTCTCAAGTGTGGGGGTTACTGACCTGGACCTTGTTACTGACTTGACCACAGGCCTTGACCCTCCAGCCTCTCTCTAGTTCTTCCCTAGGCCATATGTATTCCTCCCGTTTCTCATGTTCTATTTTCCTCATGTTTCCATCATTTAAGATGGCCATATCAATCACTACAGCTGTCCTATGTTCTGCTGCCTATCATTATAACAATGCCTAGTTGGTTTTGTTCGTATGTATCTGGACATCCTTACCTCTGTCACTGTCAACCACCTTGGAAGGTGTCTCCAATTTGTACATGTGGTCTCCAGTTTTTAAGCTGCACAGATGTTTCTGTTGCTATTTCATTTATTACTGTGCCTTACTAAAATCAAATGTTGGTAGGCGGGTGTATTACCACCCATCAGCTGGGATGGTATTGCTGAATTTCCCTCTTTTCCCAAGTCCCCAATTAATAAACTAAAGTAAAATATTACTAAACTGGCTTAGCAGGTCCATAGCTCGATAGCCTACCCACCTCTTTAGCAGAAAAGCTATGCTAAAAGACATATCACTTTTGTATTTTTCTATTTCTTTTTTCTTCTACCTTTTCTAAACATGATTCTGGTATATTTTATACAGCATGGCCATCACTATTGCTATATACTTCTGGTGAATCCACTGACTGTTATTAAACACCATCCCTATCAGGTCTACTAAGTCAGCCAGAATTTCATAACCTGGCATAAGCAGGTTCATAAAGCAGCATAAGCAGATTGATACATGTAGTTCAATTTGAATTTCACACAGTACCACCAGGAAAGGCTCCAGCGGAAAGTGTTTGCAAAAGGGAGGGACATTCAATACAATTCTTTGAGTTAACTGGGTAAATCACCAAGTGTTGAATGAGCAAACATCTTTCTCACCCAGAAAAGTCAAAATTCCCTTCCTTTCTCTTTAGACTTCAACTTCTGGTGGACGCCATACACTTCACTACATTTCATTCATCTGATACATTTCTGTATTGATTCTAATGGATCTATTAGCTTTTAACAAGAAGTATTTTAGGGAGTTTGTGAATTCACACATTTTGTAAAAATTTATCTCGCTTGCAAGTCAAACAATATCATGCACACAAAGGGGAATTTTTATATTAATATAGAGTTTTACTTTTGATATTAAACTGGGAAAATTAAGCTTAAAAAAAAAAGTGATAAATAGTAGTAATCATATCATTACTATGATAGATTTAATTCAATTTGTTATTACATTTATTTACACTGAACATATATATTTAGAAATTTTATATTAATCTGTATCTATTTTCAGTAAGGGGCTCTTGGGACCTTTCTAACTTTCCCCCTGTATGTGGTGCCCCTGGCAATATGTGATAGATTACCTACCTCTATCTTATGTGCTGTGTTGGGGTAAGACTCAACATGAAGATAAACTGCAGTCACAGTGACAGGTAGATAGACAGAACAGAGGGGAAGCTGAGGAAAATTGATCCAAAAACTTTTAAGAGAGAAGAGAATAAAAGGAACAGATTAGAGGTAATAAAACCCTGAGACACTAGCAGCTTTTTAAAACTTTTAGGGTTTTTTTTTTATCCTGTATTTTCAGGACCTGCGATTCATCACAAGTTGAGGTCTGACATAACATTTTGCTGCCTGTTTCACACCAGGTATAGTACTTCCAGCAAGAAAACATTCTTTTTTTTTTTTTGGGGGGGGGGGGGTTAAACTCTGTTCCCTTCTGTCCCTCAATGGTAATTTATACCAAAGAAGAGCTCTTAAACCTCTGACTGTAACTAATTATCCATTCGATCCTGAGTGAACCTGCTACTTTTTTTGGATTCCTAGTGGATGCATAACAAGTCCATGCAGTAGCTTTGCAATATACGGAAGACAGGAGAGAGCATGCAGCTGAGCTAGTTAAGCTGAGACAGCAGGGTTTCTGCCCTGTGTTCCTTTCTATCCTCCTAACTTAACTGCTTCTCTTCAACAGATTTAACTTAGACTGCTTCAGATCAGCTACGCTATGATTTACTAAATCCCGGCTAACTAAGAACGTCACAGACAGTGCAATTCCAGCTGCACTTGAGCTGTGGAAGGTTCCCACCTTAAATGCCACTCCAACGCCCCCAAAATCAACCACTTTCTAGATTTAATGACAGCACCATGACATGTGTAGTCATCAAGTAAAATACTAGTGTTTGCCCCCCTGAACAACATCACATGCCCCTGGCAAGGCCCGTGCATTAGCCTACAAGGATAATACTGTCGGTCATATGATGATGCAGCCAATGTATGACTGCTTTAGATCAAGCAAGAAATCAATGCTTCCAGGTCTTAAGCAAGATTCTTGTTCAAGAGCATTCTCAAAATCCAAAATCCCCTAACTCACCTTACCAGCCTCCACCAGTCAGTAAATTGCAAATTTCCTGACTGCCAGGAGACGGTGAAGCTGTGAAACCTAGCAACCAGAATCCAAACAATTAGAAATGGTGCCCCCAGTGGTGAATGCTCTTCCCACAGCTTTTCTCCAACAGTTAAACTCCTGAAGTTTGCTGATTACACACATCCAGAAAGGTGTTGAGTTATTCTACACATAGCAAAATGATCAGCTGGCTCTCTGGTGTGGCAGAAACACCCTGATGCCCAGAATGCTCAAAACTTTAGTAACGACATTTAAGTTCTGCCCCCACCCTCTTCCCTATCCCCCCACTCCACATTCGGGGAGAGTTGGCCTAGTGGTTAGAGCAGTGTGCTTCTGCTCTGAGAAGGTTGCAAGTACCCTTTTCGATCCTCTCAGCCTCCAATCTGGGTTCCTGAGAAAAACACTTAACCCCACACTGCTCCCTAGGCGCCACACAATGGCAGCCCACTGCTCCCCAAGGGGATGGGTCAAATGCAAAGAGTAAATTTCCCCATTGTGGGACAATAAAGGAATTTACATTTATATCCCCCAATCTCTCTATTCTGTAGACCATTTTTGATTTTTTTTCTTAATTTATTATTTATGTTTTTGTAATTTGTATAGACAAGGACATCCTCAGCAATCAAAAGTAAAATTCCTAACATATTCATGGTTAACAAAGATGATTCGAACCTCAAAATGCTAAAATATCAGCCACTTTAGCACAAATTTGTATTGACTTTTAACTCTCTGCATTCATTCCACATATATTATTATTGTTTATAAACTACTTTATGCATCCTCTATCTCTGTCAGGAACAATAACAGTTAGGTAAATAACATTGCTGCATCCATCTCACAGATAATCTACATACACTTAGAGCCTTCTAAATTTAGACCTAAAAACTCTGGAAGGAGGAACCCTAGACTCAGAACCTGATATGAATATTTTAACATCAACATTGAAAATACTTTTGAGCACCTTCAAAATTGTGGGCAGTGATGCAAAGAAAAGTGTCCCTCTTTAAACCATCCATCCCAAATTGATCAAAGCACTATTAAAATAATAATGTCAGTCTGTACTTTTTGAGCTTTAGTGGAGAGTACACAAGGAATCAGACATCAAAAGGGATTGTGGCAGTCAGTTTCCAAGCCGGTTGAGCTAACAACCTAGAGATTATTAGAAAATTATTAATACTCCTTTCAGGGATCTAAAGTTGTCTCATTGCCGACTCATATTATAGAAAGGCGACACAGCAAAAAGACAGCTGACATCCTCACATTCAATATGGAAGTCAGCACATAAGGCATAGAGTGCCGATGGCTAATGAAGTTTATTAACTTTATATAAAGAGGAGGCAGATAATTGCACACCATAAAAGAAAGAGCAAGGCTGTAAAAATATCAGCAGCGTGGTGAAGAAAGTCATCCCCGTGAACTTAGTAAATATGGCAAAGACAATTTAATCATTGGCAATCTCTCCATTAAATTCAGATAAATTACAATGTGTTTAGTAAAAATTGCAGATATTTGTTAAGTTTGACACTTTTCTGTAATAAAGATGAAAACTTATCTTTGTTATTAGGTTATACAACCTTATAAATTGTTTTTGACTGGTACCAACAATATTCCTCTCAACATACAAACTGTTGTCAAGAATGCCCTACAAGAGAGACTGCTTTTAAAGTGAAAAGTACTAATTAGCTTTCAAAAGAGCCCCCCTCTCTTCCCCAACTGTCTCATCCTCTATTAATGTGTGCCTTTTAGCTCAACTCTTTGTTATATCAAAACAACACCCAAGAGAAAACTTGGCAGCCTGATATCCTGCTGTATTTAAGTCCCTTGTGGCAGATGCTTCTAGCTTTAATAAGTTACACAAAATGATGGTACTCCATTGCAGGGTGGGTTTCATTAGATCTTGAGTATTATTAGAAAAAACAATATGTCAGTTTTAATGGGAGAAGGAAGCCCACTAGTCAAATTAGCGTTTTTAACTTTTCTATGTCTTATGGGAGCATCAAAAAGATAAATAAGTTATAAAATCCATAATTTGCTACTCTACAGTTAAAATTTGGATGCTAGACTTATCTCTTCATTCCCTTATCACTTATATTTTCTTCAGATGCTTTTCTAGAAAACATTTTATTCTATCAAAGGTAGAAAATATAAAAAACCACCTCGGTCATGAAATTTGCTCAATGACATTTGCTGTAGCTTTTTTTCCCTCTAAGTTAAGGTTATACAATCTGCATATTTGGTTTAAGTATAGGTATTGGTGTATACCTATGTTGTCTGTATTCTATTAAAACTCATAATTTAACATGTTTTATTTACAGCTTTGAGTACTGCATGTAGTAAATTTACTGTGGTTTGAGTAGAAATCTCTGAGTAACGTTAGTTACGTCAGAAACTATGCTGTAGTATAAATGCTGGAGAGTAACAGCATTGTTCTCCATGTTGCTGCCATAATTTTGCACTACCATCTCAGTCCAACCCTCTATACTATGAGGGATTCACTGAATCCGCTACAAATATGAGTGGATTCAGTGAATGCGTTCAATCACAACACTGCATATCATGCATATATATACACTCACCGGTCACTTTATTAGGTACACCTGTCCAACTGCTAGTTAACACTTAATTTCTAAGCAGCCAATCGCATGGTGGCAACTCAGTGCATTTAGGCATGTAGACATGGTCAAGACAATCTCCTGCAGTTCAAACCGAGCATCGGTATGGGGAAGAAAGGTGATTTGAGTGACTTTGAACGTGGCATGATTGTTGGTGCCAGAAGGGCTGGTCTGAGTATTTCAGAAACTGCTGATCTACTGGGATTTTCACACACAACCATCTCTAGGGTTTACAGAGAATGGTCCGAAAAAGAAAAAACATCCAGTGAGCGGCAGTTCTGTGGGCGGAAATGCCTTGTTGATGCCAGAGGTCAGAGGAGAATGGCCAGACTGGTTCGAGCTGATAGAAGGGCAACAGTGACTCAAATAACCACCCGTTACAACCAAGGTGGGCAGAAGAGCATCTCTGAACGCACAGTACGTCGAACTTTGAGGCAGATGGGCTACAGCAGCAGAAGACCACACCAGGTGCCACTCCTTTCAGCTAAGAACAGGAAACTGAGGCTACAATTTGCACAAGCTCATCGAAATTGGACAATAGAAGATTGGAAAAACGTTGTCTGGTCTGATGAGTCTCGATTTCTGCTGCGACATTTGAATGGTAGGGTCAGAATTTGACGTCTACAACATGAAAGCATGGATCCATCCTGCCTTGTATCAACGGTTCAGGCTGGTGGTGGTGGTGTCATGGTGTGGGGAATATTTTCTTGGCACTCTTTGGGCCCCTTGGTACCAATTGAGCATTGTTGCAACTCCACAGCCTACCTGAGTATTGTTGCTGACCATGTCCATCCCTTTATGACCACAATGTACCCAACTTCTGATGGCTACTTTCAGCAGGATAATGCGCCATGTCATAAAGCTGCAATCATCTCAGACTGGTTTCTTGAACATGACAATGAGTTCACTGTACTCAAATGGTCTCCACAGTCACCAGATCTCAATCCAATAGAGCATCTTTGGGATGTGGTGGAACGGGAGATTCGCATCATGGATGTGCAGCCGTCAAATCTGCGGCAACTGTGTGATGCCATCATGTCAATATGGACCAAACTCCCTGAGGAATGCTTCCAGCACCTTGTTGAATCTATGCCAGGTAGAATTGAGGCAGTTCTGCAGGCAAAAGGGGGTCCAACTCGTTACTTGCATGGGGTACCTAATAAAGTGACCGGTGAGTGTATATTAGTGCTGTCAAAATTATCGCGTTATTATCGCGTTAACGCGAGGCCATTTTAATGGCGATAATTTTTTTAACGTGAGATTAACGCTATGTGGTTTTATGGTACAATTTTTCAAGTACATTCCGCTGCAGCCTGCGGGAAGGCGGGGCTATTTTCCCCCAGTCTATGCATTTTCCATAGGCTTCGAGAGCGGAGCTCCTCAAAGAAAAAAGACGCTCATACACTGGGTGACGCTAGTGCCTTTTCTTTAAGCCCCACCACCAACAAATAAGTTGAGTGTCT